CAATTAATGTTTAGCGACAATCTGCGACTTTTCCAACCTGATAAATCTCAAACTACTCGACATAGTACAATTTCACCTAAAACCTGTTTCATTTAAAATAAGCTCATTTCTTAACGCATGATAGTTTATTTTTTTGGGGGGGGGAGGGGAGGGGGTCATCAAGTTTTCGACTTTGATGCTTTTGTTTATTGATCTTTGTTTTTAAAAAAATCTTGGGGTATCAATTCTAGAAATCGCCGAAATAGTTAAAACTTTGTCAAAAAGTGAATGCAAAACACTAACTTGAGATGAAGTTGTCTGTAGGCTTATAAAGATGTAGATATTTTACACTTGTAAGTTCGTCTTCTTAAAACAGTTTTCTAGCCGCATATCACTGCACTGTCATAATATTTCAGGTTCCCTAACAAAAAATGAAAGAAACCTGCTTATCTGATTATCACTCATCGTGAACTTTTAGAACTCTAACTCGGATTTAAATTTAAAAAAAATATATAAATAAATGGACATGTTTTTAGCATTTTCGTTTTGTTACAGTGAATGTAATAAGAAAGAAAAGAACTAAATCTTCGTCAAGAAGCATTAACTACAGTGGAACCTCGATTTAACGAGGTACACGCCACGGGACTGCGGAAATTGATTCGTTATATCAAGGGTTCGTTTCATCGTAAACCTCGATTCAACGAGTTTGTGGAAAAATGCAAATGGTAGTGTGACATCGCGCCACCCAGCAGTTTGGGATCGAAACGATCACTTTAAAGAACATTTATGTTTAGTGTCTATATAAGTATAGTATATTGTACGTTTGGGATTCGGGATTGTGTTCGTGTTAACGAGGATCTCGTTATATCGAGGTTTTGTCCCATATATTTTATTATAACTTTGGTCGGCTTAAAGAGATCGTTCGTTTTACTGGAAACTTCGTTATATAGAGGTTCGTTGATCAAGGTTCTACGGTAGAAGCAAGAGATTATAAGTTTTTATTCTCTTACAAGTGAGTTGATGCACCCGCTCGTTTTCAACAAAAAAATTTAAAAAACTGGAAAGTGGATTTTTTCAAACAAACTTCTCATTACTCGAGGACGATTATGTCGTAACCAATGTCCCAAAGAATACTAGTAAAAAATAGTACTTTTCGTGCGCCAAATATCAGTTTAGTTTCACTAAGAGATTAGAAACTGTTGTTATTCTCTTGTTTTCGTTGATTAACGTAGTCCCCTACGAACGATGAGCTTTGCGCATTCTCGTTGCGCGAGAGCAACATTCGACCTTTTCGCTCTCGCCCCACTCTTCGCGCAGCCAGAAAGCGAAGAAGCTCTGCGCTTGCAAATTCATTACGTGACATTTCTCGCAGGCCAAGGTAATGAGGTTTACTTGCGGGCCGGAAAGCCCTCGAGAAAAGGACAGTCTTTGGTCTAATGTCGTCTGTTTATGTGCTTCCTTATCTCAAGTCCTTGTGATGGGTATTTGCCAAGGGTTTGGTGTGTTCTTGCCAGCCATTATGGACGACTTTCATACTAGCCGAGAATTCACCGGTGAGTCTGTTTGCAAAATTATTTCTTATACGAGTGCTTTCAATGAGTTTTAGAGTATTTAAAAATCAGATTGCGTAAGTGAGTGAGATGTTTCCTCGCCCTATTTTATCCTCATGAATAACCCTAAAAAATTATATTTGCTCGTAATGTGCAACAATCATGTCGTTAGCTGTCCAGTTTGTTTGAGCACCGGCCGCCCAGGCTCCAGCTGTGAGATGATCATCTTGCGAAATTATAAGAGTTTGTATGGGGATATTTACGACCGCTCTTAGTAATAAAAAATGACAAATTCTCCATTTATCGTTATGCATTTCTAGGTTTACTACGTAAGGGACGCTTCTCTTACGTAATAAACCTAGAAATGGATAACACGCTTAAAAGGGTTCTTTTCAACATAGTTAGCGGTCAGATAATAAGCGATACACTGTGGAAGTAATTGAGGTATTTTCATTAAGAATTTGACCGTTTTTTTTTTCCTAAGAGCGGTCGTTAATGTTCCCATACAAACTCCTATGCTTGCGCCATGACTCTTATTTTGCAAGATGATCATCTCACAGCTGGAACTTTGGCCGCCTGTGATAGGGTGTGCGTCAGGGTGACCTTAAACAGCCGCAACGTCTGGACTAAGACTAAGCGACAGAGATACGCTGATGTTATGAAGCCATTTACATCAAAAACAAAGTGCAACGAGCCATATTATCAACATAACCCATCAATGACCATCCTTAAAAAAATCCTATTACAAGGAAGCAACTGGCAAATTGTTTAGAGGCAGCCTAAGCCTCACAAGATTTATAAAAAGCTTCCCACAGTTTCAAAATAATTTTTAAAGACATGCTCATCAGAGCAAAGGTCGAAAGGTCAGTTACTTCGAAGTAACCTAACCACGAAAACAGCAAGAGTCGCGTCGGCCTATCGACTACAGTAAATGAGCTTGGATTCTGCGCTGGAATCTGTGGCCGCCCGGTCATTTTGAGCTTGGATTTTTGGCTTGTGCAGCCTTAGGCTTCTCTTATGTCGTAAACCTAGAAATGGATAACTCGCTAAAACGCATATCGTTCAAGTTTTATTTGTGAAAATTAGGTTTATATCGGATCATGTCCCTTCGCAATGGGCCCTTTCTCTCAAGTTTCCTTCGCAATGCGCTCTTTCCCCAGGCAAACAGCGGCTGTGAAGGAGATGACTGGTTTATTTTTCCTTTGTTTTAACAATCTGTTGTTGATTAATGAAGTATTACCAAAAGGTGTGAAGTGTTATCTCTCTTGATTTATCCACAGCCTGGATTGGCTCAATAGCCTTTGGAATGAGCTTTTGCCTGTCTCCTGTGGCTGGTCGATTGTGTGACCGCTTAGGCTCGCGTTACGTGGCGATAATCGGCACTGTATTCTGTTCCCTGGGGCTCATCCTAACTTCCTTGGCAAGAAGAGTTGAACTGTTCTTTCTCACTCATAGCGTGATGTTCGGGCTCGGGGCTTGCTGCTGCCGGACAGTGAACTTCCTAATAACAGCCAAGTATTTTGTCAAGCGAAGGTCGTTTGCGACCGGGCTGGTCACAGCGGGGACTGGTTTGGGGATTTTCGCTTTAGTGCCGATTGCTCAAATTCTGATCGATAACCTTGGCCTCAGCGGAGCATACAGGGTTCTTGGTGGTGTAGTTTTGGCGAACTGTCTCCTTGCGTTGAGTTTTGATCCTAATGTAGAGGAAGAAGTAGCATCAGTGGTGCAAGAAAACACAAAGAAAGGTACCGAGGAACCGCAGAGAAACCAGCAAAAACTTATCGATTTCTCAGTCTGGAAAGTACCTACTTTTGCCATTGTAACTTTGAGTTTTACAGGAATATCCATTGTACTAAATACACCCCAGTTTCACTTGGTAAGTGGTAACATATACTGTACATTTCGTGTCAGATTGTCACCGTACTTTCTTTATTGACTCGATCTCCTTCCCGAAACACCAGCGGTTTTCTGTGTTCTAGATTCGAATTTTACTGGCCTCTTATAGGTCACATGGCCTTTGATAAGTAAAAGTGTATCCAGAGGGGGATACATTTTGATCTGCTGGTAAGATAAACTGGACCGGATCCTGAACTGACCTATGAATCGGACTATGGACTGATGTCTTCAACAGCCAACAGTATTAGCGATAATTGATAACTTTATTACGGATTGCAAAGGTGTCCTCTTAATTATTTACTTCAACATACCACAGGTTCGGTACTGCAAAGACTTGGGTATCCCTGAAGATAAGTCCTCCAAGCTGCTGATGATCTATGGCCTTAGCTCTTGCGTTATGCGGATAGCCTCCGGTAGATTGTGTGACATCAAATGGATAAACCCGATTTATGTTTACCAAATTGGACTATTTACCATTGCTGTGGCGGTGATATCATTCGGTGTAGTCTCTGCCTATCTCCCTCTCTGTGTTGTTAGCGTATTCTATGGGATCGGAGATGGAATATGTCTTTCATTAACCAATCTTCTGCTGCTGACCGCAGTGGAGCCTGAAAGACGAGCTTCCGCATTTGGATTGGGTAACATGTTCATCTCGATTTCCACGACAGTTGGTGCGCCACTAGCTGGTTAGTAAAATGATATTTTCAGTTGTGAAGTGAAATTCTCGTGGTTTTGGTTACTCATGTAGCTCTACAATAGTTTTATAAATGATTATGTTTTGTTTGTCCCGAAAATTCATTAACCTTAACTGTGCTCGGGCGTGACACGAGTTTGATTAGGAGGAAAAAGCCCCATGTTCTTTTTTTTCGATTTAGGTGGCCTTATTTCAAGATGACACCTTGTCTGTAGAACCACAATGTCAGAAAGCGAAACCATAATTAGTTTTTAGTAAGTGCGCTGACAAAGGGCTACCATTCGAAACGTCGGCTTTAGAAACTCTATACGGAGGCCAATTTACATTATCAACTCAGTTGATAAAACCAAATTATTTTGTTAGACTTCCTCACCGACGCAGCACCGCAGTCTCTCTAGAAAATTAACCCCCCCCCCCCCCTTATTCTTTATTACTTTTGTATAGTTCACAAAAATATTGGGTTAAGCTGGACTTCCAACTCACAAGTTCAGTCAGTGGTTTCATTGTACTTCGAAGAGCCGACCTTCTAAGGAACGTGAATAGCAAAGAATTCCTTCCACACGGTTCTTCTTGAGTTTGCCGGCTCATTCAATTTCATACAGCCAAGGAATGTTATACTTAGTTTTTCCTCCTGTACCAACAAAACACTTCTGCTTTTCGCTTGAGACAAAGGAAGATTTGATCGGTCTCATCAATCATTCTATGCCAACTAAAGTTTATTGAAATTACTCATTACAGCCGACAAATTGTCAACTCCTTTCATCCTTAATCCTAGTGAGAATGGGTATTTTCTACTGAGATGACTTAAACTGTCATCTTGTACTGATAGTGGCTCCCCTTTTTAATTGGCAGGCTTCATCGCGGACAAAGCGGGCTCTTATGAGTTGGCATTCTACATTGCTGGTTCCATGGGTATGATATTTTTTTGTATTCCATTTATCTTGCTGTGCCTAAGAGGGAACGCGAATCAGCGGGAAGAAATAAGGGCGACAAAAGAGAGTGACGAAGTTTAACGCTACTGACAGCCTCAGTGATAACTTTGAAAGCTGTTAACCCATTGCAACTTAGTGCTGCGGGGAGGAACTGCCTCTGAATTGATGAAAGACCTGGTAGACGAAACAAACCAATTAAGGTGCTAAAATTTTCGGATGGAACTCAATTCTGGACAATTTTGCACAAGTAAAGGCCTTCTGAAAGTTGATGCAAAAACAGTTGCTGATACTTTTGCCTAATCGTCATCTTCGATGGGGAACAACCTTTGTGTTACAAGAGAAACGCACATTGTGAAGTTAAAGCAAAAAAGCTAAAAGTTATAAATAACTGATTAATTGTGGGAAATTGTAGCAAATGCTGTTGGAAAGTACTCAATACACATGAGTGTAGAGCGGAAGACAGTTCAAAATGACTAAAATGAAACACGCATGATTCCCTGTTCCCCTACAGGGAATCATGCGTGTTTCATTTTAGTCATTTTGAACTAAATAACTGACTATTATCAGATGAAAAAGCGAAAATTCTTTAATTTTGGAAAATAGTAAAGATTTAATATGCGGTTCAGTAAAAACTCTAATGTACATAGTTACAAGCATGTCAATCTTGCTGGCTTTGCATTTGATTACGTCGAGTAGACCCGAACATTTAACCTCTAAGGGTGTATTGTGTTTTTCTGCGAATCGACCTCCGGTTAGACGAGTCGACTTAACTAAAGACGCATCGAATCGACCCGTGCAAATCGTTTCGATTCGTTCACATCTACTACCCCCAATTAACGCAAATTGCGTTTTGTTCTCTTCTGCGGATCGACTTCCGGTGAGACGGATCGACTTTAAGAACTCGTACAGTTTTTGCAGTTTTTGAAATGTGACCTTATCTTCAAATGATTATTTTCAGGTCATAATACTTATACTGATATATTACATAGTACAGTAAAATACGTACGTAGCTGACTGAGCTTGCATTGGCAAGGGAGGATAAATCTCAAGGTTTTGGGTATCTATGATCTTCATACGAAACTTTACGGACTTGCGCTATCGCGAAACAACTTAAGAAAGTTAGAGACACAATCCTTCGTTAGATTTCAACGCTACCTTTTTCGCTTTCAGAAACTGATACCCAGCCTAAAAGTCACCAAATTGGACTGATATCAAGAAATATGTATTCCAGACTCGAGTTATTTCCTTCGATTGATTCAATGTAGGTTATTTGTTTGTTCACACCGATGTGCAGTAATTTAGCGAGCTGCATGCTGATTTACTGATCAGCAGGACTTGTGGGCGATTTTTGAAAGGACGTTTATGACAGAAAAGCCTGACTCTTCGTAAAACTGAAATACTTTGCGGAGGACAATTAAAAATCGACCAACTTGCGTAAAGACCCGAGCCACTTTTTTATTCCCCTTGCTTTTTTCTTATTATGTTTTTAATTTCAGACTGCTCTTATCAGGCTGCTTTTGTTTTTGTCTTCAGGAGACTGTGAGTCCAATTCCTTACCGCAACTCACCTATTGAGATCTAAAACCGTCGATTTGACTGACGCCCATAATGAAAACAAGTTATGTGAACAGTCCATGCGCATCACATCACAAGAAACAATAATAATAGGGACCTTAAGCAGTCAGGACGGCAACGCCAAGGAAGAATTTGATTAAAAAATGAATTTCTGCCTTTAATTAGAATTTCAAAAGTGGTTGTATTTGTTTACCGTCTCAAACGGCGCCACACCTAAGCTTCAGCATAACGTATAAACGAAGCGTTGAGTTCCAAATGGAAATTGAAGTAATTTGCCGTCGCGGTTTCGGTTCGCAAACGACGCAAATTGTGGTGATTTCACGTTGTTGTTTTGCATAGGACGGCTAAGAAAGGTACAAAGTTTTAAAACGCACGTGCTATGCTATTGTTCTGCCAATTAGATCTTTTGTTTTTCCATGTCCTCGTTGCCGTCGCCATCGTGGTTTGCTTAAGGTCCCTAATAAAGAATTCAAGACGATTCTAAGATGGCAGTCCAGGAGGCGGAATTAATGAGGGCAGCAAGCCAGGAAAGCAAAAGAGCGAAATAAAAAACTTAATTAGAAAATGAACATGATGTGCCCTGGCAGTTTTCGGGTAATTGACCTTAAAACGAACTGTCTTCCCTATATCTTTTTCATATTTGGCAAGTATCGCATTTCAGTTTCTGAAAGGTTAGTATTATTCCATCCCGCGTTTTAATGATTTTCCCACCCTTGATAAGCCTCTGTTGTAGAAAATAAGGGACAAAATATCGGTTCGTGGGGGCTATCATCATCGTATATCATAAAAACACCACTGGCACTGGTCTTTCCCCGGTAGTCCTCTGTTCCTTCTGATAGTTCCTTGAAATCATTTGTATCTTCACTCTCGTTACTTCGCTTGGTGCGATATTCCTGTTCGGGAACTTGCACGTCTTCCTGATTTCTCTTCTTCGACATCAAACGAATAGTTTTTCTATCGCAAGGCACGCTGCAGGTGTCCTTCAAGGAACACTGAGATTGATCATATTTCGCAGCAGCTCCCTTTGGCAATTTCCATCTGATAGGCTTAGGCTGGTGAATATCAACACAGATGACGAGCTTTATTGCATCAGAGGACGTGGAGTCAGAGGAGTTTGCATATACCTCCTTCATGATTATCCGAGGTTCTTGGCAACGTGCATAATTAGCTAAGAAAGCATCGCAGGATTCAAACTTTTCCGGGTGGTCTTCTTGTATTTTTTCTCCTTTAAAATCTTGAAAATTGTGTAAAACTTCAGGACGCCTGCTACGACTACTCCTTCTAAAGGAAAGCTGAAACTGTCTAAGGTCTTCGTACTCTCCCTTCAGCGTCTTCACAACTTCGATTTTGAAATGCCGGTTGAATATGAGGCAGTAGAGGAGTGGATTAGCCAGAGAATTAAGCTGGGTCAGTAACTCGGTCCAACGGAAAACTGAAATTTCCCGAAGGATGGGCATTTTAGTGCTTGCGAAAACGACGACCACAGATGGAAGGTAAGAGATTAGTAAGGCGAATGTTAGTATGGCTGTGGTTTTGGCAATGTTTCTCTCCATCCTTTGTCTGGCTTGTGCAGCTATTCCACGCATGTTATTTAGTTTTCGTCTGCGTACAGCGATGTTAGCCATGAGATAAAAATACCCAATCAGTGCTAAGCCGAACGGAACGTTTAAGGAGACGATAAATTGCACGATTTTAACATACCTGTAGTTCACACCTGCCCTTATTAATCCACGCGCGAGAACAGTTTTCAGAAAGGACAGCAGCCACGAGATTACCACGCAGCAAACAACACGTTTTTTGGTGACAATCAGTTTGTAATTCCACCACTTTCTCACCGCCCTTTGCCTCTCCCAAGCAATTCCAGTCATATGGTACAGAGAACAACAAGCAGAAGTACACAACACCAGGTCATTTGCCAGCGCTATACGGCAAATAGATACGCCGGTTACACCAAACTTCCTCTTGAGAAGGAACGCATCTCGAGTGATTGACAGGGGCATGGAAATGGCGCCTACAAGCAAATCGGACACAGCTAGACTGACCAACAAAATATTCGAGTTTTTCTGCAGCTCTTTCCTTGTCTTCACTGCAAAGATCACTAAAATGTTCAGGAGAACTGTAAGTGGGCAGGCAACAGCGGAGGTTACGATGGAAGCCGTGAATGTTGTCGTGTCCGTTAAAATCCAAGTGTCACCTTGTTTTCTTGAGCAGAAATATTCTGTCGGCCCCTGACTTTCGGAGATGCGCGAGAGGGTTGTACTGTTAGAGCCCGTCATAGCACAGTGAATCAAGGGATGAAATAGAAGATAAGAATCACAAACTTAAATGGTCACTGAAAGATCTCATGATAAACCATGATTGACGTCTCTACTTTTGTATCCACATAATTACCGTCGGTTGGCGCGTCCAGACAAATTGCGTTCTGAGTCGTCATAGGCTAAACGTTAACGTAGTATCATAGTTTCCTTTATAACATTTTATACATCTGTTGTTATGCCAATTTGCGAATGAAGTGCAGGTGAAAAGAAGTCTACAATGAACAGAGGAGAGGTTGGGGGAGTGGAGCTGAGCGGGGCCTGGGATGAAGGAAATCATTCGAGAGCTAAGTACTTGGAATAAAACATGTGTCAACGTACGTCCTTCATATTCATTTCCCGAGTATAGCAATATCTTATGGTGATTTCATCGGTACCGATGGTCGACGCAACAGAACTACTGGTTTGCACGAAAACATTTGCGTTCTCCTTCAGAAACCCCGACTGATCCCACGCAGTCTCGCATGCCAGCTGTTAGGATGCAATCAAACTAATTGCAGCAATTGTAATCCGCACAACACTACGATTATACAAATCCAGTGAGACAATCATACGGAAATGCCAAAATGATAAACCACTCGCCCCGCAGGCCCACGAAAAAGTAACTTCAATTAAATATTTTCAATCATTAAGTTTGTGTCTTGTGGCGATTGCATCTATGTTTGCTCAGCGTCATCTGCTAAATCTGAAAATGAATGACAACCCAGAGATTCTTCAATAAACTGATAGCGAAATATTTCGGGAACGCTTTAAGAAGGAGTATAACCAAAGTCATCTAATTCGTCAGTGTAACTGATTCATTCATTTCAGCCTTGATTATGCATTGCCTGTAGTGATGCCAAGGTTCACGGTACTAAAAGTCATATCCACAGAAGCGATTAACACGGAAATTCTCATAACATTATCAATGCACCATCCAGCAAAGTAAAGGGAGTATAAAAACTTATCAGCGGGAGGTTTTTAAAATCTCGGAAATCAAGTCGGCGAAGAAACTAGTGAAAAAAGATACGAGAGCAAGAGATCAAATTCAAACTCAGAAAGAGCGTAAATCCAAGATGTATCAATTTTTTCCTCATGACAGCTGCCTTGATTTGTTTGCAATCAAACACGAATGTAGTCAATTAAAAATAAAACACGAAAGTAATGGTTAGAAAGAACTGTCATTTTTTTTTTAATGCAGTCTTTGTGACTCTCTTGCTACAATTTTGACGAATTAATCTTAAAACAATTTCGATACAACTGGAAAAACTTGATACTTCTATCGCTTGTAGAAAGATCGAGTTGGCAAAAATAATAGTTGGTCGCTGCCTTACGTTTCTCTCCAAACAAGTTAAATAATTTGTGTTTTTATAAAGAAAACACTTCACAGCTGATAAGGTCTTATATTATCAACACATTTTTGCCGCAGAATGTAACGAAACTGTTAGGAGAAATTCACTGGCATCTTAAAAAGGGGCAAGGGTTAGGGATTGATGGTGGCAAGTCTCAAACGGTTATTAAAATAAAAGTATTTCCTTGAGCGTTAGCCCTTCGACAGAGCGAAACGTCAGCCAACGTCATTCAACATTTCCCTATTTCCCAGTTAATTCGGTCTTATTAAATAAGTTGATAATGTAAATCAGCCACCGTAGAGTTTCTTAACCTGACGTTTCGAACGCTAAGTCCTTCGTCAGAGCGAACATTTCTCAGTTGGTCCGTGCTGTTTTGAAAAAAAAGAGAGTTCCTGTTGATGGCAAAAACCCTAAGCCGTTTTGAAATTGCAGCCGTTAGGACCTCACGGTTATTAAGGAGTTCGTGCCAGTTTCCTTGTCTTCATAGGTCATTGTCACGAAATGCAAAATCGAATGCCTAATCGCGAGTGATAAATAAAAAAGATATTTTTGCATTCATTCGTAAATATTGTTTAAAAAATTTGATGAATTGTAGTTTTCAACGGTAGAAACCACCAATCCTGGAAATTTTTTCCAACATTTTTATGCGAATAACCCCTTTTATTAAGGCGCTTTAATCAAGCTATTTTGATTTCTTGCTCCAATTGCAGTTTTTCGAAACGTGTGTGTGTGTGTGTGTGTTTTTTTTCCTCGAACGTTATGCAAATTATAAATTATCTACATAGACGGCTGCTTTCACCACAGAAATACTTCCTCTATTTTAGGTGATTGATCGAGAGCGATCGAGTTTTAACTCCCAGTAACCAAAACAAAGTGTGTCCTTACGACACCAATACCATAATAAGCGGACAGGTGATGAGAATAAAGAAAATTATAAATTAAGGGAATCATTAGTTGATTTGATACCAAATTCTCCGAGCTGAAATCTCAGGAATTGTGTAGCAGACAGTAAGGAGAATTACAAATAAGTTCTTAGGAGTGAAAGGGTTAAATTCATGTGTGGGATCAATTTCGGTTTAACTTTCACAGTTTGATGGTTAAACGTGAGGACCAGAGCAGACGCACGCAACATTTCAACTGAATGTCTAGCCCTTTGACTTAATGCTTTTCGAAATATTATCTAAGTTGCGAAATCATACTAATGTAAAATATCAGGTCACAGCAGGCAAATATAGTGGCCGGTGAATTCCGCGGAGTATCGACAATTTGGCTGAGGAGTAAGCCACGTTGCCTCGCAGATTCTGTGCCTAATAGATTCACTTCACAAGCCATCGTGACCTTCTACGCTGGCGAAAATATACACAACTATATCGGTTCTCTGAGAAAGAGTACCTATCAAAGGTTGCTTAGCCTCAAAAGTCTATAAGTTACAAAAGCTGAAGTACTTGAAGTGAAAATGCAAACCGCGCTTTTCATGGTACTCCGAAGTGACTAGGACTAATAAAAAATCGAATTGGCTGGAAGTAAAGACAAATGAAACTCCTCTGCTCCCTGTGATTAGGGTCCTCTTTTATCACAATAAAAATCTTTTAATTTCTTATTTTAATCCGTTGCACATTTTTTGACAAACTGCAATAATCATTCTTCCAATAATAGATGAACCCATATAATAATAATAATAATTCCTTCGAGGTCGCTCGTGGTGAAGGGGTTTAGTTTATTTACTTTGTACGTATTTCTAACAGGAAGAGACGTACTGAATTTGACCATGGTTTTCCACGGGCATTATCAGCGTTTGAGGTTCCCTTTCATCGCGTCGGTTCACTTTTACGCAAAAGATGACAAGTGGAAGAGCGGTATTGGCCAGTAAAACACTGCCGACCAAATAAAACGCAGGCTTGTAAGAATGAAACTCGTCAGCAATGAAACCTGCGAGAAAAAAAAAAAAAAGAGTGAAATGCTACTCGACTCACATCAACTTATCTTCGGGTTAGATGGTTAAGTCTATACTACGAACAAGGCAAAAAAGTCAAACCTCGTTCTTTATTTCAGGGTTAATTGGTATTATCAATTGAGTTGATAACGTAAATTGGCCACCAGGCGTTTCGGGCGTTTCAGAGCGACGACGAAGGGCTAACGCGCGCGACGTCAGCTTTGAGACTCACTAAGGTGGCCCAATTACGTTATCAACTAAGTTGATAATACCAAATTATCCTGTTATACTCTCCCACCGACGCAGCACCACGGTTTCTATAGAGCCTTGCCCACTTTATTTACTCGTTCTTAATTACCTTTGGGGGTAGCCATCCCCATTATGGGGTGTGGTCGTACGGATGAGACTAGTGCTAAATAAGACCTTTTTAAGTGACTGTTACAAACCGGCGTAACAACAACTTATCGTAGTACCTACTTGCTCACCCTTAATGCCCCAATATCAGTAGGCATATTCTCCATACTGCTATATAAACATTTGCTACGATGCTGACAAGGAGAATTTGTTTGAAAATCAAGCGCTTTTTTTATTTCGTGATCAATTCATTTAGTTTTTCTTTTTTTTTTTTGATAATGTATGTAGAGTTAGGATGCAAGTCACTCTTTGGGATGATAGATAACGACGTGAAACAGCATCGACACGTCGCAAAAAATATTCTAAAAAATATGTCAGTTTTAATCTATTAAAGTCCTAGCGATCAACTTTGTCAACAAATCTTTGTTGAGCAAATACTTGACAAAACTTACCAATCAAAGGAGGAGAAGAAAGAACGGAGAAAGAGCTCAAAAAGTTCGCCAGGCCAAAAGCTGAGGCTCTCCTCTTTGCTTCCACGCAGTTCAAAAGTACGACATTCATTGAAGTTAAAGTTATACCATTTCCAACGCCAAAAAAGACACTACATAAAATGAAACGAGTTTGATTATTCGCCAAAGGAAGAAGAATAACAGATACCGCGGTGATAAGGCTGCCCACTTGAAAAACATAGCGAGGGTTGACTCGCGTTAGATCACAAACACAACCTGCTACCAGTCTTGCAATACACGAGGCTAAACCAAAGTACATCAATAACCTTGACGAACTGTATGCTGGGAGCCCTTGTTCTTCTGCGTATTTCACCTGAGGAGAAAAAAGAAAAAGTAGCGTAGGATTTTGCGATCCTAGTTTCTTGGTTCAATTAAATAGCATGAAGCTTCGAAAATCAAGAAAAACTCGGAGAATTTACAGTGGATCGTCCATGAAGCACCTAAGATAACATGGAACATGAGAGATCTTCAAAACAAATTTAACTATTTAACGGTAATTAACCCCTGCTGAAGAGTGAAACTAACTGCTCCTCGCAGCAACCCTGCTTAATAAAATATTAAGGTCGTGAGAATGAAGAAAATGATCGCTGACTTGAGGTACTTTTGACTTTTAAACAAATTCTCTTTAACACTGCCATAGGAAATGAATAGCGAACAGTGTAAACGAAGTATACTGATGATCGGTTGTAAACAGTAACTCGAGACCTTACACCATCTTCCGCCAGTTTTTCTCCAATTTTAACAGTTGATAAAGAATATCCCTGCAATTTGAAGGCAAGAACAATCGGCAGAAACAGGTTGTTTAGTGCCAATTAAGGCATCCATTTATTAGGCAGTGTCTCACGGTCATAGATTGAAAACAGGCCCTCAATACTAACGCTATGGTACAACTCGCGGCGTTTCTTCGCCAGTAGGAAGGTATGAGGCCATGAACAACGCAAGCAGGCAAGAGAGATCTGCAAGGGGTGTACTGATAACTAGTACCAGATCCCCGGCAAAGGTCTCCCCAACTCGTCTAAAATCTTTCCGCAGGTCCAGAAAGGCGTGTCCTGCAGCGCTAACAGTCACGAGAGCCTACTTTGTACTTACCAAGTGAGTTCGAGTAGGTGACTGTCCAAAGCGATCTAACGCAAATGTCAATGCAAAGACGGTAAACGTCGGCACTCGCCAGACAGAACAGTCCACCAGCTTTGTTTGCGTCCTTTCATTGAATTTCTCTTGTTGCAATTGTATCGTTGCGTTATTTGATTCATTTTCCTGCACATTAGGATCATATGCCAGTGCTGGAATCCCCGTTACAAATACAGTTCCACCCAGGAATCTTAAAGTTTTTTCTAAACCGAACCTATCCAGTAAACTTTCGGTTAGCGGTGCAAACACAAATAGACCCATTCCAGCAGCAGATGTTAGTATCCCTGTAGCAAATGGCTTCCTTTTGCAGAAATATTTTGAAACAATTAAGAAATTTGATATACGAACACAGCAGATACCGAACCCAACAAACAAGCTGTAAGTCAAATAGTAGACGAAGGCACTTTTGGCAAATGATGCTAAAACAAGTCCAACTGTTGAAGACAGCACCCCAAGCATGGTGACGAAGCGGCAGCTAAATTTCTCTGATAGACGACCAGCCACAGGACTGGAAAAAAGTAAAAGAAAGTATGCTAAGGAACTGATCCAAGCTGAAAGGCAACAGAAGGTGATAATAAGTCACAAAATGTTCTAACTCACAATTCAAACCTTCGTTTATCAAAGAAAAGACAAATAAGGAATAATAGTAATGGGGAGGAATACACAAGATGTTAGTTCACCCCTTACACCCTAACACCAGAATGCATATTCTCCATACTGCTCTTTATACATTTCCTATGGAGCTAGCAAGGAGAATTTATTTAATGATCAAGAGCTTTTTTTAAGTTGCTGACCTTAGTGTGTAATGCTAGTCACCCTTATGGGTCAAAGGATTTTAAAAAATTTCTTAAACTCAGAAGAAAAAAATGAAGCCAGTACTAGCCACACAAAAAGTGCAATGTTCAAACTGATGTGAAATTAAATTATTTTCTGTTGATGAAACATAGAATTGACTTATAAATGGTTACCACTCTAGACTCTAGATTGAAAAAAATGTAAAACTCAGGCATGCAAAAATATTTACAAGGTGTTAAAAGACACTACAATTCTCCCAGGATTTTAAAATCACCAATTTTGTACTTTAGTTATTTGGCACAAAAACACTTCAACCTTCATTATTATATTTTAATACGCAGTTTTGCATTTTGACCACACTGAGGCTTTTGGTTATTTTTTAAAATAATTTATTTTATGATTTAGTTATTTAGCAAATAGCCTCACTTCCTCACTTTCTTTTAGGTTAATTGACAAGAGAAATAACCAAATTGTAAATTAGGTCATTTAAAAGACAACCAGAAACATTGCTGTGTTTATTTGCTAGTTAACCAAACTGCAAAATTGGTTATTTAAAAAATACCCAAAAAGTACATTAATCTCTTAATTTGCCAAACCACCAAATTGTAAAATTGGTTATGGTATTTGCTAAAAAACCAAAAAGGTCATTAACGTCTTCATTTGCCAAACAACCAAATTGCAAAATTGGTTATGTAGCAAATAACCACATTGTTTTCTTGGATATTTATGAAATAACCAATTTTGCAATTTGGTCATTTGGCAAATAAACACATTAATGTTTCTGATTATTTTTTGAATAACCAATTTTACGATTTGGTCATTTGGCAAATAAAGACATGAATGTACTCTTTTGCTGTTTTTGAAATAACTATTTTGCATTTTGGTTATTTCTGAAATAACCAATTAGTTTTGTGTTTTGGTTATTAACTGGCAATTATAACCACATAAATGCTTTTGGTTATTTTTGGCAAATAACTACAAGTATGTTTTTGATCATTTTTTAAATAACCTGTTTTTGTGTTTTCAGGTTGCCTAGGAAACAAATGCATTAGCCTTTTCTTAACTTAGAAATAACCACAATAACCTTTTTTCTTATTTAGGAAATAATTGATTTTGCATTTTTGGTTATTTAGAAATGAAAAAAAAAATAGAACATGATTACAAAGTAGAACCCCACTGACTCAAACTCACTAAACTTGAATCCCCCAATAACAAGAAGATCTGATCTCTTTTGACCCCATTTTTTGGTCAAGCAGTATCAACTAACTCTAGCCCCCCTCTCAACTCTAATCAATTTTGTTTCCCTTAGGAGTTTGAGTTGGTGGGGTTCTAATGGCTTTACTTTTTACCACTTAATCCTGAGTGAAACTTGAAAAGAGACTTATAAATTACATATTAGAGTGAGTTTCACTACTTCTGGACTTCAGCTCTTAAAGCAGGCCTAAGGAAAGGGTGTTAATACAGGGTTTGAGCCAGGCCGCGCCATTGCGCCAATCCCGCACTGCAATTGAAAT